CCGCCTGTTGCGTAGGCCGTGCCGCAGCGCAGGGCTGCTCACCAGGCCTCATGCCTACCCGCCGGGCGCCAGGCCGCCTGTTGCGTAGGCCGTCCCGCCGCGCAGGGCTGCTCACCAGGCCTGCCTACTCGCCAGGCGTCAGGCCGCCTGTTGCGTATGCCGCCCGCCGCGCAGGGCTGCTCGGCGCGGCTTCGGCTGCCTAACTGCCCGGCGCTTCACCGCGCACTCGCCCGCACTTAAGCTGAAGGCCCACATCTAAAGCGCCTTCCGCCAACAAGGCGTGGCGAGGCGTGGCGCTGGAGCTAGTGAATGGACTGACAGGCCGCGTTACGTGGTGTTGCGGCGCCGCGCGAGGAGCGTCGTGGTGGGGCGTGGCGGGGCGTGGCGGGGCGAGGCGGGGCGAGGCGGGGCGGCCGACAGAGGTGCGCCGTAGCTGCACACCGCCAAACTCCGGGGGCGTCCATTCATTCATCTCCCGCCGAGCGCCACGCCTCTCTCTCTCGCTCTCTCTCTCTCTCTCTCTCTCTCTCTCTCTCTCTCTCTCTCTGTCCCTCTCTCTCCTCTCTCTCTCTCTCTCTCTCTGTCCTCTCTCTCTCTCTCTCTCTCTCTCTCTCTCTCTCTCTTCCCGTTCCAGTGTTCCTCCGCTCCCTCCGTAGCTACTAATCACCTTTGCGTTATCTTTGAATCGACAACTCTCCACCCTCTCCACACGAACTTCAAACAGGGTCATGGTGGGCCCCAGGTCGCTCATAGATGCGCGCGTGCATATACGATCGTGTGTGTTTACAAGTCTGTGTTGCTGTGGTCTTTTTATTTGTTTATCGGCTGTCCATCCGTTGGAGACAGTAGGACCGCGAAAAAGCCGTCTCATTCATCACCCGCATGTGCACACAGCCCGGCCGCTGCCACGATGTTGGTAAGTCGTCACCTTCTATCCACATAGTTCACAGGGCCAACTAGGTCCCCCTCTCTCTTTTTTTATCGGTCCCCACGCTAATCCTCTAATGACGATGCAGTCTACGGTAATTTTCCTTAAGACCCCCCCCCCTCTCCTGACGTGGGCGATCGCGCACTGCTCAGTGGTTAGCAGAGCTCCCCAATGAGCGATTGTCGCTTAGCTTTGTGTTGGTCTCTCTCTCTCGCTTCCTCTTGATCCGCTATCTCTCTCCCACCCACGCGTAGGTGTTAGTGCTCACGTGTGCGGAGCCGAGTGGGCGCCGGGTGCGTAGGTGCCCAAGCAGATGAGAAAGACGGACGGAGAGAGACAGAAAGATAGAGAAGCAGAGAGAGAGAGAGAGGAAGAGAGAGAGAGAGAGAGAGGAAGAGAGAGAGAGAGAGAGAGAGAGAGAGAGAGAGAGAGAGAGAGAGAGAGAGGGGGGAGAAGACTGGCGCCAGGAAGGACAGCAATGACCCCAAGACCTGCGGGAAAGAAAAGAAAAAAATGAGGTAGGAGAAGGTGCGAGTAATTGATTGTAATTGTGATAAGACGCGGTGACGCGGCAGCAGCCTCTCCGGGGGCCGCGCGCTGCTGCAGCGGACTGTACCTGTCCGAGGCACGCGTCGATACAAAGGTGATGCCGCCGCAGCCTCGGGCGTCACGGTCTAACACCCCGTGACGACCCGGTAACGCGGCGTGACAGGGACCAAAACACTACGAGCGTGCGTGAGTGTGTGTGCGGCGAGCGCGTGCGTGTGTAAGGAGGTGCCTGGCCCGCCGCTCGAGGACGGCGAAACGGTTCTTCAAGCTTCTTTTGCATAGCCTCCTTTGGCGCGGGCCGCCGCCGCCCGCCCCGCCCGCGGCGCTGGTGAGAGCCCGGCGGGGTAGGCCAGCCCGCCGGACACCCGTGGCGCGCGGGCGGGCCCACCCGGCGCCCACCCGCCCGAAGTGCGCGCTTCCGGACCCACGACCCACCACCCTCCACCCCGGCGGCGAGCTCCTCCGAGATCTTCACCCGCCTGGCCTCTACTGTTCTCTCTCCCCGCCCGACAATACCTTCTCCGAACCCCACCGCGCTGCACTTCAATAGTCCTAAATCGATTTTCGTACAAAGGGCCCCGCTGCCGCCCGCCGCCGCCGCCCCTCGACGACCGCCGTATCTCCGGGAGCCGCCGCGGCCAGTTAAGGCGCACGCGCGACGCGCTCCCGATCGTATCGAGCGGCGCGTTAACTCGGAATGACTCCTATTTATTAGGCGTTTTAATAATCTGTCCGTGCGATGACGGCTCCGCTCAGACAGAGAAACGAGCCCTGGATATTTTTTTTCATACCGCCATTCATTCTAACGCAAGCACGCGGCCACAAGGTTCTCATTCTAGTACACACCTGATTTCACGCCTCAATTTATGAGTCATTTTAAACTGTTCGTGGAAAATTATATAGCTTTCACGCAACGATTCATTTTTATTTTCCTTAATCTAAAGGGAACTAGAATATCGTTGACACTTCGAGCGTAAACTCCGCCACCAGTCAGCAAGACGAAGACATGTCGGGATCTGCTCATCCGGACGGGGGCGTACGAATATAACCATTTCCGCAAGGTGAGGTCCTGGTCCACTCTACACTTTACGGCGGTGACTGTGTGTGTTTGCCGTCATAAAAGCGATGCGCTATGGGTGGTGCGATAAAAATACAACTAAATTCCTTGTTATTGTTGGTGCCGTTGTATCGATTTCAAAACGTTTATGACTCTTCCCCCACCCTCCTATTCCCATCCCCTCTCCTCCTCTCTCCCTTCGCCACCCGGCAGGTCCCGAGTAGTTTGGGCGGGAGAGAGAGGCGCAGCGAGGTGAGAGGCAGCAGCAGGGAATGTGAGAGAATATCCACCATTAATCCATCTTTTACATCCTCGTCATATACACCTTAGGGCAGGGACGCTCAATAGACGCGGGCTTTTATAGACGGAATAAATACCTCCCAGTGCCGTTGCACCGTCCCCCCCTATTGCGCTTTTCCCCCGCAAATCGCGGAGTGCAGGAGTAGTATCCGGTGCAACAGGAGCCGAGCCCAGCCGGGCCGCACGCGCCAAAGCCGCTCTTATCCCGGCCCGATCGGCGCCCGATTAGCAAGTGAAACGTCGCAGCGACTAGACGAGACGCTTACGTCTTGTTGATGGGCCCCGGCACGCGCCCGCTTCCGTTACAGCAATCCTGCTTGCCCTAGCCGAGTTAAGAGCCAAATGTCCATTGTCACATGCCAGTTTTATACGGCTCTTAGAAAGAGCGACGTGGATCGCGGATGCAACGGCCGGGAAAACGTACACGCAAAAAATATATTAAAAAATCAGTTCCATGCAAATAGGTTCTGCACAATTTCACACCCGTGCAAAAACATTTTCTGG